CCCAGGGAGAAGGGAACAAAGTGCTGTCAGTGTTCAGGGGCAGCAGTGGCAGGGAAGGGATTCCAAGGGTTCCACAGACATCTGGGAATGGTTTTCCTCAGGATTGACACCTCGGGAAGACAAAAAACACCTTCTTCTTCCCAAGCCAGGAATCCGAGCATCCGGAATATTTTATCAGCACAGCTAAGAAGTAAAAATAGGGAAAGAATTCAGAGCTTGGCACAAAACAAAGCCTTCATTGACTGGGAGTCAAACGTGGTGGAATTTGGGAATTTAGAGCYGGGATTTTATCTTGGGGGGTTTAAACGGACTTTCCTGGCTTTCCTGGAGCTGGAAAGGAATGYAGAAGCTKGTCCRGCTCCTGGGAGCTCCTCATCCCATRGGATGTGATTCCCYAGCTCCATCACCCTTTTGGTGCTGGTCAGTTCCCAGGGCATAGAGAGGGCCTTGGGAAARTGGGATTTTGGGATCAAGGCCATAAAAGCATCACCAGATTCCCAGTGCCACTTCCGTCTTTATGGCCAGGAAATGTTCCAGCCCTTGCTGCAAAGGATAATTTGGATTTTAGGGAATTTTGGGAAGTGTTTATTCAGTGGGATGCAGGGTCAGCCTCTCCCTCTCCCTCATTCCTGGGATGGGATGGAGATGGAGGCACACAGAGGATCCCAGTGATCCACGAGCCACTCCATTCCATGGATTCTCTAACCCATAAAACCCACAGGAGGTGGGAAGGGCAGCTGATAAATCTCTGAAATTCAGGACCATCCGTGACTTTTCTAAGGAATGTTATAAAATATCAGCCAGACCGAGACGATCCTGAGCAATTTTCCCCACTGGAATCCAGGCAGCTCCTTCAATCCTCCCAGCTCCGGCTGCGGAGCCGAGCCCTGGGGTCCCCTCCGGGGTTTTTGGCTGCCTGGGAGCCAAGGATTCCGTGGGAAGGGAGGAAATGCCCGCCTTGTGTTCCACRGCAGGGCAGGGAATGACTCAGGGATCAGGAACGGCGCTGCGGGAGGAGCCGAGGCCGGATCCCGCTCCTCTTCAAAGTGGGGAATGATACTGGACGGGATCAAATTCCAAAGCTGAATCCCAAATGATGCCACTGGGTGTTATCCTTAGGAAGTGATCCCAGCAGAGTGGATTCCTGTGGCTTCTCCCCACCTTGCTGGGCCTGGAGTTCTTCTCCAAATGATTGGAATCTGATTTTTTCCCAATAAACCCTAAGAGGAAATACCTGGCTGGGAGTGAAGCTGTAAATCCCCCCTTTGCGAGAGGAATTTTGATAAATCCCTGGATTTTTCGCAGGATGCCAGACCTACATGGACATCATCATCGTCCTGGATGGATCCAACAGCATTTATCCRTGGGTTGAAGTCCAGCACTTCCTGATAAATATCCTGAAAAAGTTCTACATTGGCCCTGGACAGATCCAGGTACAGCCCTGAACCCTTTGTGCCACCCAGGGGCCCCTCTCAATGTCCCTTTTTCAGTCGATCTGCTGGAATTTGTCAAAATATTGGGATTTTTAACTCATTCCATGGGAAAAAAATGCTCCCATTCATGTCCCTAAGTGAGCTATGAAGGGAGCATATCCCACATCCCATATCCCACATCCCATATCCCACATCCCATATCCCAATGGGAACAGGAAGGAGGAAGCCCCATGGGAATATAGGCAGCTGTGAGGAGCTCTCCATCATCTTACTCCCAGTAATCCTGGGATGATTTGGGCAGGGATTTGGGCAGGATTTTGGTCAGGAATATCCCAAATTTGCCCAAATAACTCTGTCTGGTCCCGCCTGGAGATGCTGCAGGTCCAAACCAGGACACTGGGACACAGCACATCCAGATCACCCCAAACCTTGGGAGTAGGGCAGGGGAGAGCCATAAAATCAGAAATTATTAATGATCCCACAAAGGGAAAATGGGATGAAACAGGGATGAGAGACAGAATTTTAACAGCAGCCGGTTCTTCCCGTGGTTGGTCAGTCCCRTTGTAAGACGGGYGCTTGTTTTATGGGATTTGWTGGGATTTTGGGTGATATTCCCRTCGTTCCCAGGTGGGAGTTGTCCAGTACGGAGAGGACGTGGTCCACGAGTTCCACCTCAAYGACTACAGGTCGGTGCAGGAGGTGGTGGCAGCCGCCAGCCACATCGAGCAGCGTGGTGGCACCGAGACCAGGACCGCCTACGGCATCGAGTTCGCTCGGTAAAATCCCGGCTCACATTCCCAGGAAAACCATCAAAGCCCCGTTTTTCCCCTCTCTCCCTCTCCCTTCATTTTCTTGCCATTTAAAAAGGCGAGAACCGCCGGGGTTTGTAAATAATTCCTCAATTAACACTTCACAACCAAYGCTTTATCCTTCCCAAAACTGCTCCGTCTTTGTTCATGGCTGGAGCAGGCTTTGGAATGGCATCCTCAGGGATTTCCCAAAGGTTCCCACAGGTCCCCAAGACCCCTCGGGGTGGGCTCAGCAGCCCAGGATGTCGTTCCCATTCCCTCACAGCTCGGAAGCGTTCCGGAAGGGCGGCCGCAAAGGGGCCAAGAGGGTCATGATCGTCATCACRGACGGAGAGTCCCACGACAGCCCCGACCTGGAGAAGGTGATCGAGGACAGCGAGAGGGACAATGTCACCCGATACGCCGTGGCGGTGAGTGGGGGTGGCCTTTGGGGTTGGGAAAAGGGACAACATCACCCAATACATGGTGGCGGTGAGTGGGGGTGGCCTTTGGGGTTGGGAAAGCCTTGGAGAGCTCGGTGGCACTCTGGGAATCCCGAAATCCCAGGACAGCCTGTCCCCACTGCTCCTGGAGCATTCCAAGAGGTCCTCATGGCTGGTGTTGTGTTTGGGATGTTGAACTTGGGATTTGGCTGCCAGAGCAGGGAGCAGGGACAGCAGGACCCTGAATTCCTCAAGAGAATCCCCAAATTCCACAAGGGATGTCCAGGCTGGAGGTACCGCAGCAGTTCCTGTTTGTTCCCACAAAGTGGGGTCAGATCCAAGGATCCAAGGGGCTTCTCCCACCCTGACACCCCAAAAGGCTTTGGGATGGTTTAATCCATCCCAAAATGTCCCAGAGGAGTTTTGACCCCCCTGGAGCCCTGCAAGTGTCCCAGGTCAGGTCGGACATGGCTTGGAGCAGTCTGGGATAGTGGGAGTTGTCCCTGCCCACGGAACGGAATGAGCTTGAAGATCCCCTCYAATCCAAACCATCTGGGAATTACAAATCCACAAAAACCTCAGAGTCCTGGATTTTCTTTCCCACCAGGTGCTGGGTTATTACAACCGGCGGGGAATCAACCCCGAGGCCTTTCTGAACGAGATCAARTTCATCGCCAGCGACCCTGACGACAAACACTTCTTCAACGTCACCGACGAGGCCGCGCTCAAGGACATCGTGGATGCACTGGGAGAACGGATTTTCAGCCTGGAAGGTGAGGGWTGCTCCTCCCCAGCACATCCCAGGCCGGGAATGCGCCACCGATCCCTCATTTGTTGGATTTGGGCGCRGGCTCCGTGGTATCTGTCGGAGGCAGAGCCTAAAAATCTTGGAATATCTTTGGGTTTGAGGAAATAAAGACAAAAAATGTCTTTATTTGGAGCGTTTTGCATCTCTGCAAATATCGGGAGCAAAGATCCCTTTTCCAAAGGACACACCTCGTTCCGGCCGCTGAAATTCCGGCAGCTCTGATTTTTCTTTTTATAGAAAACCTTGGAAAGTTGGTATGGGGGAAATTTGAGTGCCAGTGCCTTCCTCATCTGTCAAATTCCAGGGTTATAATTCCAGGCCAAACCCACACACGGGGGCTTCYGGGGGTGCCAGACATCAGGAGATTATGGGAATAATGTTGGGATTTYGGGTTTAGTGGCTGGAATGAAATATCAGGAAATATTTCTGTCCTAAATGTCAGCTCTTGTGACAACTTTGTCCATCTCCCAAACTAAATTTATCCRGATTTCAGAGGAAAAATGCAGCCTGGAATGAACAATTGAAGCAGAGGAGGGAGGGCGTACACTGGAAATTAAATATTTGGGAACTTTTGCTCAAACCAACTCACAAACTCYCCAMARRTTTCCCAKTTTTCTTGGTCCAGCCAGTCTGGAKCTTCCCTGTGGAACTTGYCCTGAATRRGGAGTTTCYCTCAGTTGCAATTGTGAAGGAAAAGCCCCCAAATCCCCATTTTGGGGTGATCATGGAGCTCTGAGAGGGGAGAAGCTGCACCCAGAAGAGTTTCCAGAGCTGTTCACATTTGTGGAATTGGGGGGATTTAGGGAGAAATGGGATCATCGGGGGGATGTAGAGCTGCTGGAGCAATTCCAGAGGAGCCCTGGAAGCCCCTCTGGAGCCAGGCTGGGAGATCTGGGAATGCTCCCCTGGAGAAGGGAAGGATCCAGGGAGAGCTCAGAGCCCCTTGCAGGGACTAAAAGGGCTCCAGGAGAGCTGGAGAGGGACTGGGGACAAGGGATGGAGGGACAGCACATAGGGAATGGCTTCCCACTGACAGAAGGCAGGGATAGGTGGGATATTGGGAATAATCCTACCGTGTGAGGGTGTGGAGGGGCTGAGCTGGAATTTCCAGAGCAGCTGTGGCTGCCCCTGGATCCCTGGCAGTGTCCAAGGCCAGGCTGGAGCACCCTGGGATAAGCAATGGTGTTCCTACCCATGGAATGGCTGGAATAGGATAGGAACCCACCCAGGCCCTGCTCAGCCCCTCCAGGAAAACAATCCCACATTCAACACAAATTCCCTCTTTTTTTTTTTTTTTTTTTTCAAGGAACCAACAAGAACGAGATCTCCTTCGGACTGGAAATGTCCCAGACGGGATTTTCATCCCACGTTGTGGAAGTAAGAGAGGAAATGCAGGAATTTTTTTCGGTCCTGCCTTGTCCCATTTGTCACCCCCCACTCCATGTGGGAGATCGGGATTTGGGACAAATCATTAATTAAGGAGTTAAATCATTAACACAAGAATAAGGGAATGCTGCTGGATYATCCCATGGGAAAGGAGGTGTCAGGAGAGCATTCCTTAGGATCTGCAGCAGCTCTTCCCGATCCCACTAACTCATGGGAAAGATGTGCTGGGATGTCCATGGAAAAAGTGCCTGGGAATTCCCTGGGGGGAAAAGCCCACTGGAAAGATAGGAATAGGGTGGAAGTGTCATTCCAGCATTTTTAAAACCCTTTGGCATTCTGAGTGCGCTTGGAAGAACAGGATGAGAGGGATGGAATTGCCTCCCTTCGGAAAGAAATCCTCTCAGACCATTCCTGTTTTCCCACAGGATGGGATCCTGCTGGGAGCTGTGGGAGCCTACGACTGGAATGGAGCTGTCCTGAAGGAAACCAGCAGCGGGAAGGTCATTCCCTTACGGGAATCGTACCTGCAGGAATTCCCGGAGGAGCTGAAAAACCACGGAGCGTACTTAGGTGAGAAAGCCTAACGGGGCTGTGCTGGGGTGGGGGGAATTTGGGATTTTATCCTCAATAATGGGATATTCCTCAGTGGAGGTGGGATTGTGGGACAGCTGYGGGATGCAGTGCAGGAGCATCCTCACGAGCACGGACCGTGGCACGAACGGGGTTGAAATCCGGGAGCGACTGAGCCGGCGGCTCATCCACAGCTTTCCTTGGAATGGTTTCAAAGCACCGATGGAATTTCATGCCTCGGCAGGAAATACCTGCTGGGTTAATCCATTCCATGTGCGGCCACTGCAGCTCGGGAATAAAAATATCGGCTGGGATTGTGAAATGAAGCTTGTCCTTGGAGATGTGGCTGGGGCACAAGGAGAGCTGGAAATCTGTGGGATCAACGCCTCAAGGCTCTTCTCTGGGATGGTGAAGAGTACTGGGAGCTGGGGCGTTCAGGGATGATCCTCAGTTTGGGAATCTCCCTGCAAGAGGGGCATTTTTAGGGAAAGAGGAACCCTGGACAAAGCCAGGGAAAGGCACATCGGAAGCCTGAAAATCCCTGGAGGTATTCACAATTCAAGCGGATGTGATTCCAGGGAACGAGAGTCAGTTTCAGGACTGTAAATTTAATGGAATCCCAGAATCCTGGAATGGTTTGGGTGGGAAGGGACCTTAAAGCCCATCCCACTCCCTTCCATGGGCAGGGACTCCTCCCACTAAACCAGGCTTCTCCAGGCCCCATCCCGGCCTGGAACATTCCAGGGATCCAGGGGCAGCCACAGCTTTTCTGRAGAGCCCATTCCACTTCCAAGAATTTAAGTGGAATTTAAACCTGAGCATGAAGGTTCAGGATCCTGGACCTGGGGTCAAAAACCAGAACTCGGCAGCCCCATCTTTGTATTCCCAAAAAATCCAGTCGGCAGCCACAGGRAGTGCTGCAGCCCAGCGATCCCAGAGTAGCAGGAAAAAGGGATTGCTCAGGGCCATTGGCTTGAGTGGGGTTGTTTCTATGAGGACTCGTCAGGAATGGTTTTGATGGATTCATGGAACTGGGAACGTTGACATCCAAGCACTGGGAAAGCTTTCCCTGCCTGGTGCTCCTGGAGGAGCCGAGCACCTCACGAGTGTTTGTCCAGCTTGATGTGAGCCATGGAATGAAGCACTCAGAAGTCTGGGAATTGAAAGAATTGGACCCACCTTCAAGGAAAGGATTGGCATGGGAATGGAGTGCCAGAACTCCTGGCACTGTTCTGTCTGGGGCAGCACCAGGGTGAGCGGCTCAGAGGCGTTGGGGTCGATCCAGGTGCCTTTATCCTTGGAAAAATCCAGGTTTTTTCAACGATCCCTCTCTGGGAAGCGGCCAGAGCTGCTGCTGGGGGCTGAYGGGCAGCAGATCCCAGGATCAGGCTGGGAATTCTCACTGCATTCCCTCCCCATTCCAGGTTACACTGTCTCCTCTGTTGTTTCCACGGAGCACGAGCGGATTTACGTGGCGGGAGCGCCGCGGTTCAACCACACGGGCAAAGTCATCCTGTTCAGCATGCACAGCAACCGCAACCTCACCATCCACCAGGCCCTCAAGGGCGAGCAGGTAATTCCTTTGGGAATGCCGTGACAATGTTTCCCGGTGGAAAAATAAATCCTCTCCCTTGATTTTTCCAAAGTCGGAACGGCCGTGTGGCTGTGGATGTCCCGGTTGTCACTTCATCCAGTGTGGCCATGGCAGGGACAGGGTTTGGAACATCCCTATGGATCCCAGGGAATGACAGGATGGACAGATGGAGGGATGGATGGATGATGGCATCCCGTCCCATTGTTGCCACCCAGAAATGAAATTCAAGATGATTTTAGGATAGGAGGGAATATAAAAGTGGGTTTTTATTGGAGTTTCGGGAGTAGCCGAAGAGGAATATCCACAAAATCCTGTCCCTACAGGGATGAATAGAGTTTGATAGGTTTCAGGAAATTATCATAATTGATAAAAAGTACTAATTAGGAGGACAAGTGGTGATGCAGTTCCCCTGAGGTCAAGCCCCTTCTCTGCAGCCCCCACCCTCGGTCCCTGCTGTCCTTGGTTATGGAGATGGGTCTTGAAGACCTCTTGGTTCCCAGGAAGAACCAGGATAGGATGGGGGACCTTGTCCCTCCAAGGCTTGGAGTTTGGAATGTGTTCAGTCTCCCAGCTGGGGAGGAGGGCAGGGAAAAGTCCTGGGATGGTGACAAATATAGAAAAGGAAAAAGGCAAAAATCCCTCCGGCCTCCTCCAGATCGGCTCCTACTACGGCAGCGAGATCAGCGCCCTGGACGTGAACGGCGATGGTGTCACCGATGTCCTGCTGGTGGCGGCGCCCATGTTCTTCAGCGAGGGCCGCGAGCGGGGCCGCGTTTACGTCTACGCCCTGCAYGGGGTGAGCCACAGRCCYGGRCMGGACAYGGGGCTTTGGGACAGCAAATCCTGTCCCCCATCCCACCGTGGCAATGGGGCTCGTGCCACCCCTGTGCCCTTCCCTGTCCCAGCTTCCCTCAATCTGGCTCAATATTCACTTTCTGTGCCAAATTCATCGGGATCCAGGGGYACGGGGAAGGTCRTGCTCTACATCCAAGGATTCAGTGCCTGCCTGGAGCACGGAATTCTTACACCTAAAGCAGAACTGGTTATTTTTTATGGAATTATTTGTGGTGCTGGCAGTCTCAGGGGCTCACCATTCCTTTGGGATGTGCCCCACTGAAAATCCCACAGCCCTGGGGGGAAGAAATCCCACACTTCTTTCCTTGGAGAATCCCTCCCACATCAATGCACTATTCCTTCAGGGTTTCTCCTCTTCCCAGTYCTGCTGCTGATGCTTTGGGAATTGTTTTCCCTCCTTTTCCCTTTCCCCCATGGCAGAACCTCTTCATTCCCAGCGGAGCCCTCGTGGACCTGCCGAGTTACCAGAATTCCCGTTTCGGCTCCTGCATCGCCGCCGTTCCTGACCTCAACCAGGATTCCTACAACGACCTGGTGGTYGGGGCCCCTCTGGAGGACGAGCACCAAGGAGCCATTTACGTTTTCCTTGGATTTCGGGAGACCATCCTGAAGAAGTACAAGCAGGTGGGGATCCCCCATGCTCTGTTTTCCCCATCCTTCACGGGAATAAAYTTAATTTGTCCCTATTTTAAGGACCGATGGAGCAGGACAAACCCACAYGTGTTAATTATTGTTAATTATTATGGACAGACATTCCCCTCTTTTGGGACTTCCAAGATAAATCGCTGGAATTTAAGCATTGGAACAGCAGTGGTGGGATTTAAAATGTGGGGATGTGGCACTTGGGGACTTTGGTGGTGGTCTTGACAGTGCTGGGGAATGGTTGGACTCAGGGATCTTGGGTGGCTTTTCCAACCTAAATTATTCCATGGAATAGCAGGGAAAAGGCTTGGAATGATGGGCAACATTTGGCATTCATTGCAAGGGATTGCTATATATTTATTCATTCACTATAAATAAATTACTGATATTTATTCATTTATTTATTACACTTTTGGTAAATATACTGGTAAATATATATTTTGGCAAATATAGAATAGGCAGAGTAAATCCAGTGTAAATCCTAGATGGTGTCTCCAAGCAGGAACCGCCCTCATTCCCTGGAAAGTCGTGTTTAGTTCAAGCCCTTGGAATGGGGCACCTCCAGCAGCGAGGAGGAGCCGGCAGGGCAGGCCCTTGGCAGGCCGGGATGCTCCAGCTGGAATCCCGCCTGGACTGTTCCCATTCCCTTCCAGAGGATCGCGGCCGCCGACCTCGCTCCGGGCCTGATGTATTTTGGCTGCAGCATCCACGGGCAGCTGGACCTGAACGAGGACGGACTCGTGGACGTGGCCGTGGGCTCCCTGGGCAGCGCCGTGGTGCTCTGGTCAGCCGGGGCTCCTTGGTGCCCTCTYCTGATTTCCTCTGCCCAAACATTCTTCCAGGGAAAACTGATCTCCCAACAATCCAAGCCATCTTCCCCAAATAATGACCCTGTGTCCAAAGAGGCTGTGGGATCTCAGTGCTGTTGGATCCTAAAAAAGTGCCAGAGCTCCATGGTTTTCCATGGAGTTTCATCCAGAATTCTCCACAAGTTCCAAATCCATTTGTGGTGCTTTGCCCAGAACCCCCCTGGTCTGATTTAATTAGAACAACATTTTCAATTATTAATTAATGTYTGGAGAGTCCCTGGGAGGTGTGGGGGTGGAAGGGCCTGTGCCCAGGTGAGATGGGTCATCCTGGGCTCTGCTTGGAGAGGGCCTTTGRTCTTCCTCAGCCTTCTGAGGGAAGTGGGGAAAAGGAGGGGAAGGGAGGGAAAGGGAGGGATAAGGGCCATCTTGGAGCTGTGGGAGCCTCTAGGATGTCCCACCCGTGCCCCCTCCCCACCCGCAGGTCCCGCAGCGTGGTCCRGATCAACGCCAGCCTCCGCTTTGAACCCCCCAAGATCAACATCTTCTCCAAGGACTGCCGGCGCAACGGGAAGGAGGCCRCCTGCCTGAGGGCCTTCGTCTGCTTCACCGCCCTCTTCCTCTCCGCCCGCTTCCAGACTGCCAGCGTGGGTGAGCACCAAATTCCCATTCCTGCCCTGTTCAGGTCTCCAGCCCCATGGGAACACCCAACTTTTGGGATGGGAACCATCCAAGAGCTCAGAGGATCTCCCGTGTCTCCCCCGTGTTTGTCCCTGTTCCAGCTGCGTCCCTGTGTTCTGACGGTGGCTCTGCCAAAGGAACTCCCCCGGGATAAATCCCACCTCATCCCTCACCCATTCCCAGGGCTGAGCTCTCCTGGGGTCGGCCTTCCCGTGCTCTGTGCCTTTCCTGCACTCTGTGCCCGGGGAATGTCACACTGTTGGGATCAGAGAGGACGTGCCCGGCCCATATTCCACAGGGCTCATCCATCCCTCCCGCCGTGGCAGCGGGACACATCTGCCGGCCAGATGTTTCCCTGAGATCCAGGACAGCTGGCCAGCTGTCCTATTAAACCCTTGGATGGTGCCATGACCCCGAGCCTCCCCAGAAGATTCCCAGGAGCCAGAGTAGCAGGGAAGGCTCAGATCCCTGCGAGCCGGCAGCAAACACTGGCAAAGGAAAATCAGGATGCAAAGCCAAAGGAAAAACTCCCAGCCCCCAGAGCAAGGGTTTTGTGCTGGCAGACCCAGAGTTTTCCTCCCGGCTGCTGTCCCTGGGGATAAAATCAGAGTGGGGTTTCCTTGTTCATTGGATTTCACATTTATTTCCATGCGGAAGAGCCACCCCTCTGTGCTGGAGCCAGGCTGGGAGAGCTGGGAATGCTCTCCTGGAGAAGGGAAGAGCTCAGAGCCTCTTCCAGGGCCTAAAGGGGCTCCAGGAGAGCTGGAGAGGGACTGGGGACAAGGGATGGAGGGACAGGACACAGGGAATGTCTTCAAACTGACAGCGGGCAGGGATAGGTGGGATATTGGGAAGGAATTCCTGGCTGAGAGGGTGGGGAGGAGCTGGGCTGGAATTYCCAGAGTAGCTGTGGCTGCCCCTGGATCCCTGGAATGTCCGAGGCCAGGTTGGAGCATTCTARGACAGTGGAAGGTGTCCATGCCCATGGAATGGGATGGGATTTAAGGTCTCTTCCCATCCAAACCATTCTGGTATTCCGTGGTCCCCTGCAATCCCTGCTTGTGATTCCCTGGGTTGAGAATCTCCAGTTTCTTTCCAGCAGCAGTGCAGGAATCACACGATGTCCATAAATCATCCAGATGAGGAGAGAGCGCCYGTGAACATATGAGAGGCGAACAATCCCATCCCCACCCAGATTTCACACCGCATGGYGCAATAATTCCCTTCCAAAGTTTTCCCGGGATTGTCTGCCAGCAGCAGGCTGTGACCCGATTTCCCTGTATTTCCCTCAGCAGGGCACGGGCGCTGGGGCCGCTCTGGAGCCAGGCCRAGTGTCCCCATGGCCTGAGCCAGTGTGTCCCCACAGGGCTCAGGTACACCACGACCATCGATGAGCGGCGCTACTCGCCACGGGCGCACCTGGACGGCGGCGGAGACCGCGCGGTGCCGAGGACAATGACACTGCCCGCGGGCCAGGAGCTGTGCCACACCCTGCCCTTCCACGTCCTGGTGAGTGGAGCTGGGATCGCCTCCTCGGCCAGCTCCACGCTCAGACAGATCCCTGGGGMGGGAATGAGCCTCATCCCGCTGGATTCCTGCGGCGGTCGGGACGGAGCTGCCAGCACGTGGCGGCYGCCGGGTCCCCAGGCGGTGACCTCACCGCAGCCCGGCGGCCACGTGCTCCGTCTCACGAGCCGTATCCTCGGGGAGAGCATGTGCTCCTCATGCTGGGTTGGGCTGGTTTTCCTGCTCCAAAGCCAGGGAAGGTTTATTTTTCCCATCGGGAATTCAGTGTCCCCATGCCAGCCCCTGGCGGTGTCCCCTGTGCCCCAGCGGGGTCCCAGCCCCGGGTGCAGGGCCGGTGACGCCCTCGCTGGCAGGGAGCAGCTGACGCACGGACCTGGCCAAACCCAAACATTCCCAGGGAATGAGGAGAATCCTGCAGAGGCCAGGCAGGCCCAAGCTGCCAGACTGGCCCGGCCCCAAGCCCCGGCCTGAACTGCCGTGAACTTTTGGGAAATCTGAGGCTGGAGCTGGAGCTGGAGCTCGTGATTCAGCCCAAAAAGCTTCTCCTGCAGAGCATCCCTCTGCACCCCGGGGCAGGGCATGGGGCGAGCTCCTGGGGGCTACTGGAGGGCAGGGATGTATGGGATACTGGGATTCCTGGCTGGGAAGGTGGGCAGGGGCTGGGATGGGATTACCAGAGAAGCTGTGGCTGCCCCTGGATCCCTGGAGGTGCCCAAGGATGGACGGGGCTTGGAGCCACCTGGGAACATGGGATCTGTTTTTCCTTCCCACCCAGCCCTGGGCAGGGGCTGCAGGGCTGATCTGAGCCCTTTGGGGATACCCCGAGGTGCTGCCCCTGCCCTGTGAGCAGCCTCGAGCCCCTCCCCGATGTTATCCATGTGCCGCAGGACACGGCGGATTCCGTGAAGCCGGTGACATTCTCCATTGACTTCGAGCTGGAGGACCCCGAGCACGGCCCCATGCTGGAGGACGGATGGCCCACCTCGCTCAGGGCCGCTGTAGGTAGCAGCTGCCACCTCCCAAAGTGTCACCTCCCAAGGTGCCACCTCCCAGGCAGATTTCTCTCCTGGGGTGTCGTCACCAAGCCGCTCTCACTGTCCCCCCAGGTCCCCTTCTGGAACGGCTGCAGTGAGGACGAGCACTGTGTCCCCGACCTGGTGCTGGACGCCAGAAGTGACATTCCCAGTGCCATGTGAGTGTGTGACCCCAGAGTGCCACCAGCTGGGGMCAGTGCCACAATCCAGCCCCAGTCCATGCTCCATTAATCCCGACATTGCTGGTTCTCCATTGAGCTCCAATYCATGTTCCATAAATCCCGACACTGCCAGTTCTCCATCCAGCATCCCCACAAGGTTCATCCAAGCCCTCCATGAGGTGCTCCTCGGTATTCCGAGGCTCTCCCTGCTCCCTGTCCGGAATGAATCCGTGGTTTTTCAGGGAACCCGCAATCCTGCTGATATTTGGTGCCATGGTGATGAGTTCCAGGGATACAAATCCGGAAATAACAGGGAATAACTGCAAGGCTGGCATTACCCACCTGGCAATTACAGGCTTGACTCATGGAAATAATTCCTCAYTGCAGCTCCGTGGTTAAGGAGCTATTAAAGGTTATCCCTGAATCCAGAGGAAGCATGGAGCAGCTCCRAGGGCTGGAGCCCCTCTGGAGCCAGGCTGGGAGAGCTGRGARTGTTCYCCTGGAGAAGGGAAGGATCCAAGGAGAGCTCAGAGCTCTTTGCAGGGAATAAAGGGGCTCCAGGWGAGCTGGRGAGRGACTGGGGWCAAGGGATGGAGGGACAGGACACAGGGAATRGCTTTAAGATGAAAGAGGGATAGAYGGGATATTGGGAAGGAATTGTTCCCTATGAGGGTGRKGAGGRGCTGGGCTGGAMTTCYCAGARAAGCTGTGGCTGCCCCTGGATCCCCWGGAATGTCCAAGGCCAAGGYTGGWCATTGGGGCTGGGAACAACCTTTGCTTCTGGGATGGGATCTGTTCTTTCCTCACATCCCAGCTGTCCCAAGCCCTCCCAATGACATTCCCACTGTTAACCAAAAATCTCAAACTTTGGGACAATGGGAGGAATTCCTAATTCCTGATTCCATAGCAGCACATCAGGACATGGGGAGAGCAGGGATTTCCCCGCACTGCCCCATGACATAAAATCCCAGGAATGCCCCTTCTTTGCAGGGAATTCTGCCGGAGGGCGCTGCGGAGGGGCGACTGCTCAGCCTTCAGCCTCTCCTTTGACGCCTCCGTCTTCGTCATCGAGAGCAGCAGGAGAAGGGTGGCCGTGGAGGCGACGCTGGAAAACCACGGGGAAAACGCCTACAACACCATCCTCAACATCTCCTTCTCCAGGAACCTGCAGTTCGCCAGCCTGATCCCCAAGGTGAGGCTCCCGTGGGAGATCTGACTTTTCCAGAGGCGCTGCCGATCCCGGCGGGATGAGAGAGACGCAGCCCGAATCTCCAACCCTCGTAAATCAGAGCTGTTTATGGGCTCYGTTTCTGAGCGCTCCCAGCTCTTTATTTTGGAAAGACAAAAGCGTTTGGGTTTTAAGAGCCTGAGCGAAGGTCAGGCGCAGAGGAAATTATTTCTCTCTMTTTTTCTCCGCCAGCTGTTTAAAAATACTCCCTGCCCACAGCCAAGTTCCCGTCGGGAATGAGTTTTTGCAGCTGAGAAATAACTCCTGAAAGTCGGGGCTGATAATGGGAATGTGGCCACAGCTCAGCATCGAGCCGGGCAATGCCACCTCTCCATGATTCCCCCTGGATGATCCCAGAGTGTCCTRAAAATGTCACCCCCTTCACTGACTCAGTCACGGGGTGACCCCTCCCTTTTCCCAGYGAGGTTTGGGAATGTGCTGATGCTGCTGAGCCGTCCCTCACTCCCCCATGACTTCATCCCTGCCCGCAGATCCCGTCTCCTTTGTTTTTCTCTGAGCCGTGCCAAGGGAAAATTGTGGGGCTCGTTGCCCACAAAATGAGAAAAATGCATTTTTTGGAGATTAATCCAAATGAAGTGAGGGGAGCAGGGAAAATCCCCGGAGTGGTGGGGAACAGAAAGCACCGGGCAGCTGGACATGGAAGTGTCACGGATAAAGGGCTTCTGGCTGCCCCTCCTAATAGGGGAACATCCAGAGGGGATGGATATCTCTGTCATATACATAAAAAGTGGCTGTGGCCCCAAAAAGTCCATAATTTCAGCAGATAAGGGGCGGAGAAGCATCGGGCTGTGCTGGGATATTCCAGCTTCCRGGAAGGACTATTCCAGTGGCACCAGCTCAGACTGATCCCTTGTCAGGGGAAAAAGCTGGAATAGCTCATCCTCTCATGGTGAGRGTGGGCACCTGCTTACAGCTGGGCTGTGGAGGAGGCAGAGCAGCATTGGCATCCTATCCCCATCCCATCCCGCCCCATCACATCCCACCAGGGCTTTTCAACAAGCAGATCTTCTCCAGCCTGGCTGGAGAGKTGGAAGGCATTCCCGCAGCAGGAATGTGGATATTGAGGTCAGGGAATTCCATCTTTGCTGGTGGYCATGCGGGATAACAGCTCATGTTGTCCCCCAGTGCTTCGCAGTGATTCCTCTTCACAGAGAAAGCAGGAATGCCAGGAATAATCAGGTTCATTCATCCACCACTGTAGTTCAATTCAGAAGGAGGATTTCAGTCAGAAAGCTGGAAATGGCTTGGTAGAGATGGTCCTTCCCAGGAACATCCGTGAATGCATGGGAAGGATTCCCAGCTGGAGCCAGTGGGTGGGTGGGATGATTGGCTGGTGGGTTGGTGGTTGGTTGGATGGGCCATTGGTTCGATTGTCCATTGGTTGGGTTTTGGTTGGTTGTTGATTGTTGATGTTGTTCCTTCATTCATCAGTTTGCTGACCATTTGTTAGTTGGTGGTTGGTCATTGCTTGGTTGGTGATCATTTGTTGATTGGTCATTTGTTGGTCATTGATTGGTCATTGGCTGGTCATTGGTTGGTCACCGGTTGGTTGGTCAGGCATTGACTGTTCATTGGTCAGTCATTGCTGGTCACTGTTTGGTCATTGCTCAGTTGTTTTCCCAAAGCCAAGGCCCGCTTTGAGCCCTTCAGGTCTCTCTCAAAGCTCCGGTTCCGGGGGCTCATTCCCGGTGTCCCGGACACTCCGTGTCCCATTCCAGGACGACGCGGATGTCGGCATTGACTGCGCCGCTGATGACCGCCACCCA